TAATGAGGAACGAATTCTCTTTATGTGTGTTTATGTGTGTTTATGGCTAGTTGGCTGTATAATAGGATAAAATAACAGCCGTATGGAAATACATGACCCCAGCAGACAAGCAACATGGAATATTTATTTTGGATTCAGACGCGATCCACATATATTTAAATTTATTGACGGAGAATTGAAGTAATAAGTGAGTTCAACTAGCCAGAAACGTAAAAAGTGAAAAAAATCAGAATGCTATTACTATAGTAATTTAGCAATTAATAATCATGTTTTTTAAATTTCAAACTTGCTAGGAAAAAATAAATGAAACTCCTCCTTCAAATTATTTACAAGCAATTTATTACCCCTCTTTAACTATTTATTATAATAAATTAGCAATTAATACGTTTTAATACAATGTTATTGAATAGGTGAATATTCAATATGGATATAGGGGCCACCAGCCAGGGAGTTTTGATTTCTTTTTTAAATAAGAGGGCATTTATATCTTTTTGTTTGAATTTCAATCATTTTATTTTATGCTAGAGCATCTAAAAAGTATTATTGAAATTAAGTACGCCACTCAAGGTTTGAAAAAAAAAAAAAAGAGTACACTATTTTAATATTTTACGCATTTAAAGTCGTTCCATATTTTATATAGAAGAGACACCACTGTTCATGAATCATCATATATTTCATCGCAATCCCAAAAAAAAAAAAACAATATATTCTGTAGAAGATAAAGGCGGCACACCACACCAAGCCTTAATTTACAATATAAGGAACCTCATCACTGATCCATTTTTTGAAAGATAATTTCAAATCTATCCCTTCCTTCTCTAATGCCTTAAAGCATTGCCTTTGTATATATATAATGCAAATATATATATATATATATATATATGTTATGTTTGTGTCCACCCCGGTGCCCGCGCTCTAACACATGTAATTATATATGATGAGCCAAAGCAAAAGGCTTCATCCCCACCAAACCAAGTTCCAGTCCTGAATATCCTCTGCAAAATGCGAAACCATTTGTGCCTTTTCTCTCTCATCCTCACTCTCCTCTCTCTCTCTCATGCTCTCACTCCGTCTTCTCCTCTCCATTGCGACCAACATGGCTGTACTATTCTCAACTCCTATGGCGCCTGGCCTGATCGAGCTTCTTGCCACGCGCTTAACGTCACTTACCCCACCACCGAGCAAGAGCTTCGCCTCGCCGTCGCTTACGCCAATCGCAACAATCTTAAGGTGAAGGTCGTCACCAAATTCTCCCACACCATTCCCAAGTTGGCTTGCCCTTCCGCCGATAATACTCTTCTCATCAGCACCGAGAAGTATAGTTCGGGCATTGAAATTGATGCCGCTGATTTGGTTGTGACCGCGGATTCCGGGGTGCCGCTTCGTGATTTGATCGATAGAGTGGAGGAGAATGGGTTCAGCTTGGTGGCTGCGCCGTATTGGGAGGGTGTGACGGTGGCTGGGCTGATTACCACCGGCGCCCATGGCAGTTCGTGGTGGGGCAATGGAGGGGCTGTTCACGATCATGTTATCGGGATTAGCATCGTTGTTCCTGCTTCCAAATCTGAAGGCTACGCCAAGATTTTGACGCTGGAACGACACGATCCTCTCCTTAATGCTGCCAAATTATCACTGGGAATGCTGGGTGCCATCTCCAAGGTCAGTCCATCAATTTTTTCCCCAGTAGAATGGCACTGTATTTTTTTACCTTCCAACAGCTCGCAATGGTGTTATCGTTTTTCTCTATGTTCACGTGTTCAAGCACATGCAATTTTGGGTGGACACCCATATATTCATTTTTACCGTCAGTGATTGAAGTCTTTTGCATACTTAAGCATACTACAGATATGTGTGTGTGTGTGATATTCAACAAAGTGACCTGCGATGCGATCGATTATGATCTAGTTTAGTTTGTTGAATATCTTTTTTGCTTTTTTATATATATGATTAACAACAGGTGAAGCTATCAATAGAGCATAGGTTCAAGCGACGCATAACGTACAATTTTACTGATGATGCTAATATGGAAGATGGATACATGGAGCATGCAAATAAGTATGAATTTGCAGATATCACTTGGTATCCTTCGAAGCATACAGCTGTATACAGATATGATTCCAGGGTTCCCTTAAATGTCTCCGGTGATGGCGTATATGACTTTATTGGATTTCAACCCAATTCTATGTTGGTCTCCAAATCAATCAGAGGAATAGGTAACAATTAGTATCTTCTTCTCCTCTCCTTTTGATTCTTTATTTCTCTATATCAACAAGCAATTATATATAATGATAACTTAGTGCATGCTAGCTGTTGCAGCTTTGTCAGTTTTCAAAGTATATATTGGCGGATTCATTTATATAAAATTTTTCAAGTTATCTGACCTTATAATGCTTCATTGAAATTAAAATATGTCTACTAAATAAATTTATATTGAAGAATTTCATAATAAACGCTTAAAAAAGTTCACTTTTTTTTTGTTTTATATATATATATATTTACGGATAGAGATGCATATCTTGGATTTTACTGAATCGTCCCCTTTTATTTTATTGGTCATCCACAATCATTTAATGATTATGATATGTATGCATGTATAATTGAACGGGGATCAAATGCAGAGAAATTGCAGGAAAATGGGAGGGATGTGAATGGGAAATGCCTAACAGCAACAACTACAGTATCGTACAAGAAATTAGCGGGAAATGGGCTGAAGAACAATGGCCTAATCTTCACAGGCTATCCAGTTGTGGGATATCAAGGAAAAATGCAAACATCGGGTTCGTGCTTATATTCAACAAGATTTGACACTTCCTGTGCGTGGGATCCGAGAATCAAAGGGCTATTCTTTTACGAGAGCACTGCAATCTTCCCTGCTTCCACCTTCGGAGACTTCGTGCGTGATGTGAAAAAACTGAGAGACCTAAACCCACAGAACTTCTGTGGCCTGGACATCTACAATGGCTTCCTAATACGCTTTATTAAAGCCTCAAATGCGTATCTAGGCCAACCCCAAGACTCCGTGGTGATTGATTTCAACTATTATCGTTCGGAGGACCCTTCAACTCCAAGACTAAACCAGGATGTGTTGGAAGAGGTGGAGCAAATGGCGTTCTTCAAATATGGAGCTAAGCCACATTGGGCCAAGAATAGGAACGTAGCTTTCTTGGGTGTGCAGAACAAGTATCCCAAGTTTAAGGAGTTCATTGCAGCCAAGGAACAATTGGACCCTCAGAATATTTTCTCAAGTAAATGGTCAGATGATTTAGTGTATGGCAAACAAGGGGAAAAAGTTGATGGGTGCGCGTTGGAGGGACTTTGCATATGTACTGAAGACAGACACTGCAGTCCTCAAAAGGGGTATTTCTGCAGACAAGGCCTTGTCTACAAAGAAGCTAGAGTTTGTAGGCACTCCTCGGCCTCCATTGCTTGATGCTTTTGTACAACACACACAAGCATATTACTCTCTTTATTATCTATGCTCATAATATGAGAATATTATTCTTCCCCTTCGGCTTTTTTCCCAGTTAAAGATTACACATGGATCGTCCATGGATGCTTATCAAGCTAGTTGTCGATCGAGCGCGCTAGTAATTTAAGTGGGAATCAGTAATCTATTGGGAAATTTTTCTGAATTTTGTATAGGAAACATATAGAAGCATCATAATTATCCTAGCTAAACTGACTCTCATACAAAGACTTGTTCATTTATGCAGTGGGATAATTAAACAGTTTGTTATTTTTATCGAGGGAAAAAGAGAGAGAATGTTCCAGTCTCGCCTGGGTCACGTATGGATTATCTTTACGATTAATCCAGTCTGTTCTTTTTTTTCCCCCCAATAATTCTGAAAGTTTATTGTGGAAATCTGACTAGTCAAATTAAATACGAAGGTTGCTGGTTAAGTTTAACGGAAGCATTCTTTTTCTATTGCTGCATAACGATGCTATGAAAAGCTGAAGATGCAAGCAACAGCAACAGTGACGTCTGCGTACGGAAACGAAGGCGTGAAGTTTTATTTTAGGGTTTGGAGGCGAACCGTGAAAGTATCAGGTTATTTAATATGAAAATAAATTAAAAGAATAAAATACGTGGATTATATTGCCTTGTACTCTTACACATGAGTCATATTTGCGTGTGAGAATTCAGGTCAAATATATATATATTTGTGTGAGAATTAACTAACTTGAAGAGAATAAAACATGTAAATAATATATTTACCCACGATAACGAGGTGTTGTCCATGACTTCATGGCTCAAATGATGAAGCATGAAAGATCCAACAGGATGATAAATAATTACATATTGATTTGCTCACTTTCTAACACACACGCATGCACAACCCATCTTCCTCCAAAAGCAGCTCTGCTTCTACAAAGCGTTCCTGTGCAAATTCTGTTGGGTATATCCTGCCAAGAAGTTATGGGTGTGTATCAACGCATACAATTTGCGTTAATTGTTTTTTTTTAAATTTTTAGAATTGAATAAAAATTATAGTAAAAGTTTAAAGACAAAGTTGAGTCATCACCAGAGTATTTTGAGATAAATATCATTAATCATTAAATCAAAAGAAATTTGTTCTTTGGTGATGAGATAATTTTTTTCGATGGAGAGATAATTTTTAATCCCATGACAATCATATTCCCAATCAAATAAACAGGAGTTTTCCAAATTTTGAATTCTTTATTGTTACATTATGTAGAAACGAGTAGATGATGCGGAAAAAAGTTATTTTGCAGGGGAAAAAAAAAAAGGCCCGTCTCTCCTGATAAGTGATAATTGCCTCCAGAAGATAGCGAAAACGCAGCAAATTACAGCGTCTTTGTATCTCTGAAATGACATCAAACCTTTTTCGTTCTATATTTGATTTTATTTGTCAAAATTTAACTGAACCCCCGCCAGAAATTTTTATTGGTTAATCCTTTCTTTTAACCCAAAAAAGAAGCCAGTGTCCAAGTCACCGCCTCTTTGAAATATAATTACGAAGAAAACTCGTATTTCAAAGTTTCAACAAACTATATCTTTTTGACCAAATTCCGACAAACTATGCCTGTTACATTGGTTTTTGACACTTTACATGATAAGTTACAGCCACAGCACTATCGACATGAGCTTATTAGATTGACAGTTGACAAATTACTTCGTTCAATCTTCCGTCTAGTGGCTGATGGGGCCAGTCAGACAAAATGCACCACACCGAGCCTTAGAAAACGGAGGGGCTTATATCAAGGCCTCCCCACTAACTTATCACACCAACATTGAACGCCAGATATAAATTTATGAGAGAGCAAATCAAATGCTACTCACAGAATGTTAATTAAAGTACTTAGATATAAGGGTCTTCTGCTTGCTTTATATCAGATTAACATTCAGGCTTGGCAATCAGCCACACGCGCTGAGGTCGTGGGAATCTCACTTTCGAAATCGAATCCATGCTCCGACCCTGAGAGTCACTTTGATACTCCTCCTTAAATATTCCCATGCAGCATTTAAGGGGGTACAGCAGCTGCTGACATCTTTTGACAATAAACAGAAGGAGCAGGAGTCAAAGAAAAGCAGTACGAGTATATTTACATGAGACTTGAAAGCAAAATGAGATTCTGAGAACCTACCAGATGCTGGAATGTTAAAGGATTTCACCATTTTTCATGATCCTTTATTTTCGTTTCCTTCAAATTTCTCTGCTGTTTGCATCCCTCAAAAGTAACCAAGCTGGGCCTTTTCTTGGGATTACTAGGCTTCTCAAATTTCAGATCTTCCCCTCTGATCATATAGATATTCCCCATATCTGGCAGGGTGAAATCAGCTGGATTTCTATTTGTGCTGCAAGAGTTGGAGATATAACTGTCTTTTGAAGGCGCTAAAGTTACACAATTACCATGAACTTCCAATTTACGTTGCAGTGGAGTTTCTGTTTCTGTTTCGGTTTCAACATATGTCCAACTAAATTGCTTATTTCCTCTATTCTGCAAGACCGGGTTGGGGCTCTTAATCTTCGACTTTCCAGACTTTGGGGATGTTTGATTATTGAAGCTTCCAGCTCTAATAAATTTCTTTTTATGCTGGATTGATGAAGATGCACCTAAGGTTGGTGAACTAAGAAAACCACCATGTGATTTATTTGACAAGTAATTCTTGCTGTAATAATCAGATGATGGCTGTTTCAGAGAACTGAGCGCTTTATCAATCTCCAATTTACTATTACAATCACCATGATAAGAGGGTCTATTGAACATTTGAGCACTGACACAATCATTGATGGGTTTAATTGACTTCATACCTGCATCCATAAGGCTGAGTAAATGCATGGCTGGTATTATCTCGTTAGAATACAAATCCAGAGATGCCCTCATATTTTGCTGAGGCTCTATTCCATTATGTTTGCATGGAAATGGGTATTCTGCATTCATCCTATTGAGGGTTCCAGATTCTTCATTCCTGTTAAGCTTTTCAAGGCAAGTAGCATTTAAATTCAAGCAATTGAGATCAACATCATCCCTGTCCATCTTCTGCTTATGAAGCGCATTGGTTTGGAGTGAAGTCATATCTATAGTAGCACAAGTAGATTGAGAAACAACCCTTTTGGGTATGTCATATCCCAGGGACAAATGATCTGGGGTGATGGGCGCCCAAACATGGGAAGCTTTGTCATCTGGATGTAAAATAGTCTCGTGTAAGCTACATCCTCCCTGGACCTGCAAAACGGGATCAGTGGATCCACGCGCTGCATTACTCCCATTCATCTTGCAATTTTGAGCACTGCTACAAAGGCTGGATCCCATGGTTGGAAAATGAAATCCATTTGGTAGCCTCTTTTGGGAATTGGAAACCTCAAAAGGAAAGGAGGACTGAGTTTGACAAAGACTATTCCTATTCAAATGGTTTCCATCATCAATTGGAGAAAAGTAGTGAACAGACTTTCTTTTGCCCGGCCTAACATTCTCTCCCCGCAAGGACATGCCATTTTCCCCATGTCTTCCATGAGGTTTTACTTTCAGACCCTCATGTAACAAGGATAATCCTCCTTTTCCATGGATGCCAGAGCCAACTGTCATCTGTGCTTTCCTTTCATCAGCACATCTTGTCAGCTGAAAGCTTCCATTTTCTGCTTCAGAAAGACGCCTCTCATGTTGATTCTTTGCCATCAGCTCTACAATTTCTATGGGTATATCATCTAATGTCCCCCCCTCAGACACTTGATCAGCTGTTTGATCGCCATTGGTTTTCTTGAAACTTGCATGTTCCATAGCCTCAACTGGTTTTTGTGTGTTCTCTGAACCAGTAATTTCCTGCAAACAGAAAGTTATTTCCTCAGAAGCATTTCAGTACCATATATGCTTGATTATGAAGCCAATAAGAATACATTCATCCAATTAATACATCAGAGGTAAAAATTTCTTTTTCACAGTAGTATTTCACCACCAACACAAACTAAAAAGACCATTTCACAAGAAACCCAACTGGCCACTGCCAAGACATGCAGCGGCTATTGATAAGGAACTAAAAAAAATATTGTGGAGAACTACAAGAATAAGGTAAGCAACTATCATGAATGAGTACTGGAGAGATCATAAGATCAATTTGATTTTTCTTGTTAAATCCAATTTCTAATTCAAAAGTCAAAAAAATTCACAATGGAAAAGGATGAAGAAATTATACCTGAACAAAACTTATTAACATACTAAGATACTGTTCATGTTCCGCAAAAAATAAATATATAAATAATTGAAGTTAAAATGGGAAATGAAAAACTAACAACAAATACTATTTGCTTGTCCTGGAAATGATTCCCATCTTCAGCCTGAGAGGCATACTTATGCCTTTCATTAGGAAAAAGCATTCTAAGGGGCTTTTTATTTCTATTTACTTCACAACTCACCCCTTTGTCAGAAATAGCATCTTTTATCTGCTTGTAAGGAATGCTTGACTCTCCAACAACATCAGTTTCTCTGCCTTTCTTTACAAGATTGTGTACTTTTGATGTGCCCTCTTGCGAAGACACTGAGAAGGGTAGTTGATTATCAATTTGACTGAAGCATTTTTTGTTGCAAGCCTGAGGTGCCAAATAACTATTTTGAGAGAGATGAAGTCCCTCTTTTACTCCACTTTCATTACATATGGAGCCTTGTGCTGATGCAATTGGAATAACTACAGGCATGTTTGACATTAATTTTGCTCCTGTAACAGCAACAGAATCTTCTACAAGCTTATCATTTTCCCAAGAAGATAAGGAACCCAGATCCCCATCAACTTGCAGCATCTTCCCTCTTTGTTTGGACAAATTGCATTTATTTCCTAATTTTAGAGCATGCAAATGAAAGTTATCCATTCCTTTTTCTGAAAATGCAAAAGATGACGAGAGAGAGGGAGTTTTAGATGCACATGCCTTACTCACAACATGCATATTCTCCTCATTTTGGTATGGATAAGATCTCAAATGTTTGTCAACAACTTGGATCTTCTTCTTTTTCTTCTTACCCATGGTAAGGCCTCTATCAATTTCAGGTTTACTCCAGTAGCTCTTCATATTTTCTTGTAAACCTATTGAGGAATGCACATCTTTAAATCGATTATCCAGGATAGTGTCATTTACTTCTGCATGTCCCTCCAAGTTTTGACCTTCATTATGAACCCTATGTGAGGAAATTTCAGCAGGTTTCAGCTCTTCATCCAGAAAAAACTTCTTTACACTCTTATCCATATTTGTCAAGCTGCCCTCAACAGATGGTGGCAGTGTCTGTAAAGTTGCAGATGCCTCGGAAGTACCATCAGATGAGAATCCTTGTATAGTAAACTTTTCAGTCTTTTTCTCAACATTTTCACCCAATAAGTCAGTTAGCAGGCGCACCTTTCGAGGCTTCCTACGTGGCAAACTAGGTGACTTTTCTAGATGATGATCCTGAAAGTCATTTTCAACGAAATTTTCTGTAATTCTTGGTAAAGCTTTTTGACTAGCAACTGACTCATTAGGAGAATGCTCAGTTGTGTCATAAGTAGTATGATCTGCCACAGCAACTATCTCGCCAGCCTCCAAAATTGAACAAGTTTTTTTTAGTTCTTTCTGGCATTGGTCATGAGCAGAAATAAGTGTTCCTCCGTTACAAAACTCAGAAGAATTTTGGTCTGCACATTTGAGATTGCTTGTAGTAAACTTAACATCAGAAACTTCATTACCTTCAAAGCCTATCTCAAAAAAAAAAAAAAAAAAAGATATTTGAGCTGCGGGTTTGAAATCAGTATAGCATTACTATGCGTGCTATATAATTGAAATTTACCTTTATCATTTGTAGGTGCTTCCAGTCTGAGCCATGGACAAACTTCAGGTGGCGGAACACTAGTTAGTTGATGATTAAGCTTACCCTCCATGCCAGTCTCATGATCTGAAGAAAACATGGAAAATCAAACCCACATTGTAAAAGATTGACCATAATACTCATACAAAACTGAGCCTTCAACTTACCTATCATTCCGTTTTTTGCAACTTCAAGTTTCTTTTCTTTCTCCTTATTAGCCAGTAAGCAATCGTTTCCACAGCTCAAATTAGTAGAACTATTAAGATCAATTCCTCTATTTTCAACAGTGTCAGGTGTTGAAGCTAGCCGCAGCTGAATATCAGACGTGACAGCTGCATTACTAAGGCAATTGCTAGCAGATTTGCATCCAGTACAGCAAGAATGAAATTCTCCTTGGTTATCTTCGTCACTGCCTTCAGCAGCAATTTCTTGCTGACAAGTTTGACAGCACCACCGTCTGAATTTGGGCACATCTAATGGCGGAAGCAAACATGGTTGACCCTCAGACTCACCATGGTTGCCTTGTAATGGAAATGGCCAACACAGTTTCCAGTCCTTTTCACGAATTTCAGCCACATATCCGCTGCATTAACAGTAAAAATAGGACACATGAGGAATGAGCTTTTGAAAAACAACCGAGAGATATTTGTTATTCCACAGAAGAATAATTATTCAGTTTTTTCGCAAAAGAATATGATTAACCAACAACATAAACGGATATAGTAATCCTTCAAAAATATTCATTTGATCGTAGTCCTTATAAATGCCACTAAGTTAATTAATTGACTTTCAACTGTGCAGATGTGGAATCTGTTGATCTCAATATTTTATGAATGTTATGAATGAAGGCATAGAAACAATAAATAAGTAGTTAAAATAAATATTAATCAGAAATCACGCAAACTTATTTAAGGTTGGTAGCTTCAAGGCTTACCGTATTGAGAAACGATGATCACATTTTCCTGCATCACTCTTTTCAATAGAATTGGCAAGATCTATGGAGATGGAGTCAATCTGGATAAGTGATCCCATGATTTCGATGACAGTGTTTTAAAACATCCTTTGAATGAACGGTTCTCCACATTTATGCATACTCATCTCCCAATTAAATACAAGCAGCCAAAGCTAGAATAGCATGAATAGAATTTACATTATTCGACAGTATTAGAACACCAAAGTTATTATATAATAGAAACAAGTAAAGGTTCTATGCACTGAGTCAAGATACACTAGTTGAATGACGATCACCACCATATTGTGACAGATTTTTGTGCATGTAAGCAAGGAAAACACCTTAACACATACGAAGATATATTAAGCAAACTTCCCAGCAAACTGCTAGCATTTATGCAACTTCTAATAAATCAAAAGTAAAGACATGTTAAAGAAGACGACTATTAGAACCAAAGTGGAATAAATGACGTGAAACCTTCATAAGTAGCAATTAGACACATAAAATAACAACCTTAAGCAGTATGAAAGTACATAAGCCCTAGTTTTCCATCAATAAATCCAACAATACATAAGCTCAAATTTAGCATTTCCGTTGTTTAAAATCATATAATGGACATAACAAAGGCAGCACAACAATCTAAGCTCATAAAAGGAAGAACACGTGCTTGAAACAAGACTCGGTACATGCTAGGGTTTTTAAATTCCATGAGGGAAACTAGTCCTATTATGGTGTAAATATCTCAGGATAAGAATTGACTCCCGAAATCCAGCGGGCGCGCGCATTTATTAAGTCAAAACCGGGTCAGAAAACGATGCGTTAGAAAAACTCAAGTTTTACGGTACATCGGCCTAGACGTATTATTCAACTCTTATTGACTCGCAAGCTCAGTTAAATTTAAAGTGAATAGCCCAAACAGCAAGGAAAATGAAAGAAAAGTGTGAAACGGCGCCAATATGGCAAAACGCAGATTAAAAAGAAAAAAGAAACAAAGCATAAACTGAACTGGGCATACCATAAACAGTACAGTAGTCACTAAAATATCCCAGACCAAAAAAAAAAAAACTAAAAAACCGCCGGAGCTAGTCCCGATTAACACGGAATCAAAAGCCAACTCCAAAACCAGAGCAATAAAAGGCAATATGAAGACGAGAGCGTACCTAAACTATCCTGAGGACCAACCCAGACGATCCGACCAGGCTAGACACCGATTCTTAACGGCTCTTCGAAGCAATGGTAGTGAAAGATAGAGCATTTGACGGATAAGAGATAGGGGGTAGCTCAGCCACGGGATTCCCAGCTCACTGACTACAATTTGAGTGCGAAAGACACAGAAACCCTAGAGAGAGGGGGGCTTTCGATCCTTTCGAGAGGAGAGAGAGTGGAGAGAGAGAAAATTTTTATCCTCGTCTTTGGAAGAAGGTGGTGCCGTTGGGTGTTGTATTTTAAAAGCGCCATATCATTTCACATTTGTATGTGATCCATAAGCTTAGAAATTGTAAATCTAGAGAAAGAGTGCGAGGACAGAGAAACTCATAGCCAATGAACATCTGCCAAGTGGCGGAGATGTGCGGTTCTTATCACTAACTATTTATAATTGCGTGCGTGCGGTTGTAGATCGCAAGGAAACCCTAGACGGAAGGGCGAAAAAAAGGGAGGGGTAAAAAAAAAAAAAAAAGCGGGAGCAGTCTCGCGCGTTGAGTACACGCACTTCATTTTCGTGTAGGTTTTAAAAATATGTGCCTGTCGTATCAACGACGGCTAAAGGTGCTCATGCTCTTGGCACATATAATGGTTGTGATTGGTGCGTGTTTGTTACGACCTGTGAAGGAGAGTGGGCGTAGGTGGAGAGGTGTTTGAAAACCCTAGGTCTTTTTCTGAAAGAGAAATTAAAACGGATGGTAAAGGATACGTAACCCTAGCATATTATTATTGCAGCTGATATAACACATAAGCATCTCTATCCAGAATCTTTTATGGGATCTGAAACGAATGAAAGTGAAGATAAGGTCTTTTTTCAATCACATAAATGAACGACATTCAATTTAATGGTTCTATCAGCTGATCATAACTTTTCAAAATATATGAACTTTTTCAAATCTTGCATTTACATTATTACTACTCCGATTAAATTAAGCTTGGCACGTACTATCTATACTATGAATTTAGATTTAGACAGACACGTTTGAGGAGCGTTACAAAAAACATGTCAAATAAGTTTGTTGTGAATCACGCTGTCTTGTCGATTGCGTTTTGAATATTATATGAATGAACTGCGTTCATTTTAAACAGATAAAACATGGTTGGAGATCGAACACTCCCGATAATTGATGTGCCGCGTACTATTGTATGTATTTGGGCTATATATCACAACGGTTATAAATTTGCCTTTTTGGTTATAATCAACTGTCACTGTAAAATCAGTTTCCCATTATTTGGATGTGTAATTTTTTAATTTGAAATTTTTGATCTTATAATTTGATACTAATTAAATTTGTTTAGAATTCAACGTCGTGGGGTCGTTTTTCCAGTCAATTTAATGTCAAATTTAGTATCTTATAGAGTTGAAATCTCTGTGTTTGTGTGCGTGTGTAGTGATCGATGTTGGATATCCCTCCAAATTTCCAATTCCAACAATGCAATAGTTAAAACTAGAACAGATGGGTTGCTTACATATATATATTTACACACACACATGTGCTTGTCACCAACTTTTATGTCCTCTTAAGGATTTATAAAGAATTGCAAAATGCATTTTTGTCCCGGATTCATACGAAACGAAACTCTCAAACTTTTGAGCTAACTAGTTTTAATTGATTTGAAGTTCTGAACTGACATGAAAAATGTTTTTAATATTGTGGTTTTATATATGATATGATGCCATATGCTTTAAGTGGTACTTTTTACTGGGCAGCTGCTTTTTGACTTGGATGATACAAAGGAGTAGTTCATGAAGGACCTATATATATATATATATATATATATATAGGATCATAATTAAGAAAACAACTCCTTTACAATTATATGTATGCATATGTAGGTATGGAAGCTTATGGTAAGGATAGGCTGCCCTTGTTATGTTGGGAGAGGGGGCCCTTTTGGTCATGATGCATATATACGGATAATACTATAAAGGCGATGATAAAGAAATATAGTGCATAGTCCCCCCATGCCCCATCCATGTGGTCATTTTGTAGTAACCAATAAAGCCTGTACATAATTTTACGCCTGCCCAACATGTATATTTACCCTTAATTCTCACATAATATCTCAAATTATTGGCGGCCATGATGTATAACTAGGCTGATTTAATTAACCCAAACTTTTCGTTCGTTCTTTCCTATAATTAATTTGGGCGAATCTAATGCTTTTCCTCGACCAAACTCAAACCTTGGTGCATATATATGTATGCCTTTGGGGTTGGTCAGATTATCATTATGCCCACCGCACGCGCCGGTGTTGAAGCTAAAAACTAATCTAACGAGTACAAAAATAAAGCACAAAAGGAGGTTCGTTATAATACGAGAAAACAATCCTTGGAGTGGCTTTTCTTTTTTTCCTAACTCGACATAATTTAGTAGCGGACTTGGACTTTCATGGGCTTTGTCATAAAATAATCGGTGGCTCCGTATGGAAGGTTCTTGAGAATTTCGACAAGACCATAATTATATCCGACGAAGTGTTTGAAAAGATCCACCTTTTTTACTCTTTTCAGCGGACTTGATGCAAATTATTTGTCCACTTATGTTTGCTTTTCTGTTCAATTTGTTATCGCGTAGACAATAAACTTAACTATACACACTTTGTTCTTTTCTTTCTTGGTTTTTTTTCACATAACCGATTAGTTTATTATTAGATCTATTGAGTATCTATAGAGAACCCAGCCATCGGCGATTATTCCTTTAACTCAGCTTCACAAAACAAAAAGTTCAGACATAACTAGTCCTATTTCCTACTTGTTAATCAAACATAGAATCGGCTAATAACTCATAAATTAATTAAGCCAAAAGTTTCACCATTTACGGGATGTCCAGAGAATTTTGTTCTGGCTCATCTGCGGAAAAGTTGTGTGGCTAGCTTACCGAAACAGTAGAAAAGGAACAAAAGCATTTTCATAAACTGGGACAAATCCGAACCCTTATTTAGCTACCTTCCATATATATGCAGAAAAAGCCCGTGTAGGATAGCCTCTGGTAAAACAAACAAATTAAGCTCAAGCTTCGTAAAAGTAATATTCCTCAGGCCTCATCACAATCACATATAAGATCCATCCAGTTATTTCCCTCTATCGATCGTTTGAATTATACCAGTTAATTAAAGATTTCTTCATACAGCGAATCTAGTATGAGATTTGGGGCTTTAACTATCAATTGATTCAGGGTTATGGCCTATGGGAACTTCAATTACCTGTTCGGCTGATGAAAATGGAAAGAAACGAAGACCCCATGAAGATGAAGATCATCATATATAATATTCAATCTGGTTTTTCAGGTTCCCATTGCCTGTCGCGTCGTTTTCGTGCCCCCGATGATAATTCACAGTCCAGAAATAAACCTCTCGCATCAGACTTCATATAATTTCATTTTTTTCCCGGGACGTTAAAACACACACACACACACACACATATTGATCGCTCGATATCACTCCACGAATATGTGGTTCCTCTTTTGAACAACAACTTGTACTGTCCTCGTCCTTTGATTTTAACTGGGAATAAAGTGACTGGGTCGTCTGAGTTATATCCCGTGGATGAACAGTAGATGGGTAAAGGAACGAAGATTTTGATGTAACTTGCGACAACGAAAATAATGGAAGCCGAACTGCTTCGGCGGGGTAGGCAGGGCTGCTGGGTAGGAAATCACTGCAATTATATATTTGCAAAAGCCAGCATATATGCGTAACTTTAGGCTTTGAAAAGACAGGGATAATGTCCAGGCCCATATTTAATTTTTGTCAATTAATTAAACTTAATAATCACGGAAACTGGTGGGGGGGGGGGGGAACCAGTAATTAAAACAAGAAAACCAGTGATTAAAAAGATAATTAAGATGCAAGGAGATGATTTAATACTGTGGTGGTGTTAATGATACCTGAGCTCTCTGCTTCGTCTTCTTCTGAGCAAAATGACGGTGGAAACGAGGGATATGAGTGAGCTGAGCTTATACTTTTTACGTGTCGCTGGGTTGAAGGCTTGAAGGATCATTTTCATGCAATAACCCAGTCATGTCAAATTCAAGCGACAAAGATATTCGACTGCGGGATATTTTTCATTTTTTAACCTTTTGTTTCAGAGAGAGAGGGGAAGAGATGTCTGGTGAATTGGATCGAATGTGCTTAGTTTGTAGTGACAAGCCTTTGCAAATTGTGGCCTATTATTTTAGTTTGTTTGTCATATTCGGATAGTTTTTAACCTGGGACATAAAACTGGAGAGACAAATTAAAATACTCCCCAGATACATAAATCCCAATTCAAGATTACCGAGGGTGATTCAGTCACCGCAAAGAAGTTTTTAGGGATTATAATATAATAGTTCATGATTAAATTTTGTAACAGAAATCATCTAAATGTTAAACATCTTTAATTTGAAGTATTAAAGAAATGAAAGCAACATCAGTTTGAAAAATAGACAGTAATAACTAAAGTAGCCACAACTGGTTTTACATAATTTTTTTTGTTTTGTGGAATAGCAATCACAATTTTAACTTATCAAGCAGCAGCAGCAACAATAATATATATAGCAGCTAAAGCAATACGAGTCCATAGTTTCACTGGGAACAATTAGATTACTTTATAAAAAAAAAACTTAGTAATTACGTAATATTTGCTAAAAACTTTATAAGAATTAACTCATTTCAATAAATTATTTTGAGATCTTTTTTGGAGTGAACTGAAATTCTTATATTTAGGTGGTTACTGTACCTCTTTTTCCTTGGTTCTATACCACAATATGCCTTTCTCGGCCTCTTGGCTAAGATCAATCGTAGTTTTTGTCCTCGTCAGTTTATTAAACAATAGCTCCCCGCAAGGGAATAATATTCCCGACTGTCACTAAGTGAAGGACAATAAGAAACTCAACTTCCTCTGGTTTACCATCATTAACTCTGGTTTCTGGCCACGAACCTGACTGAGATACGTGGCCTGCCCAATATATGTATCTATTAAAAGCCGCAATCATAATTATCCTTAGTCACATCAAGTTTTGTGCATGGCTTGTCTGTTTGTGCTGGGTGAATCCTCGGCTGTGCTGCAAATTACCCTTTCACCCTGTCTTTATCATTTTTTAAGTATTTTACCAGCTTAATTAAATACGGTGAACCTTTTACTGGCATGTTGCAAAACTCATATCTTCTAACGCAAGACATGCTCAAAGTTTAAAAGAACACTAATTTAGTTTGCAAATAA